ATAGAAGGGCAGTAGCAGGGGGTGGGGGTGGAGGGGCATGACAGGGGGCAGTATTAACAGGGGTAGGGGCATGGAGGTCCCGTAACAGAGTGTGGGGGTGGAGGGGCAGTAACAGGGGGTAGGGGGTAGGGGGGATGGAGGGGCAGTAACAGTAACAGGGGTGGAGGGGCAGTAACAGGGGGTGGGGGATGGAGGGGCAGTGACATGGGGTAGGGGGGTGGAGGGGTAGTGACAGGGGGTATATCAGCTCACGAGCAGGGACCTCTATTCCTCTTGTATTGATTTGTCTATGCTGTACTGTCTGTTTTCCCTAATTGTACAGCGCATCGGAATATGTTGGCGCTTTATAAATACCAGTAAGAATAATACGCTCTGTACCGGGGGTATGGGGTATTGGGGATGGAGGGGCAATAATGGGGGTACGGGGTGGAGGGGCAGTAACATGGGGTAGGGGTTGGAGGGACAGTAACAGGGGTAGTAACAGGGGGAAGGGGGAAGGAGGGGCAGTAACAGGGGGTATGTGGGGTGGAGGGGCAGTAACAGGGGGTACGGGGTGGAGGGGCAGTAACAGGGGTTAGGGGTTCATAAATACATTCATTGGTGGTCCTGTGGGCGCTGTCTCCCTGGTGGTCTGGCTCTATGGTCTGCAGCTCCCCCAGGAGTGAGCAGCAGACCATGTGGTAAATCTCGCGATCTCCAGTCAGAGTGTTGCCGTGGTAACCCCGCAAGACACTTCAGTCTGCAGACTGAAGGCTGGCTCTCTCCCGGGCAGACTGACTGGAGGGGCCTAGCACCAGGCAGCATTATGAGCAAGCCACAGGGCCTCCTCCTGTGTCGAGTCCTCGGTCAGACATGGTAGTCTGCCCTAAGGTGATTTAGGCGGCCGCAAGGCCCTCATCAGCACAAGGCCTTAGTCGGCTGCCTAAATCTTCTAATTAGAGAGCCGCCTCTGCGTCTGCTATATGGAGAAGGTGGTCTTCATTGGACAGCAGTACTGAGCTAACACATCAGAGTCTTGGGCGAAAAACTAAAATATTTCCATCAAGAGCAGGAAAATATGAGCAGAAACACATGGAACAATACTGTTTGTCATTGCCATGATATTGACAGAAAACATCAAAAAATAGAAAAGTGACATTTTGTCAAATGTCTTTTCTTTATGATGTCACACTATAGGTTTTTATTTAAATGTGAAACACAACAGGTATTAAGTGCTCACTATATACTTGTAGTGAAGGCACCAGTGAATCTTACAAGGATTCCCAAAACCTTGTTGAAATGTAACTATAGCAAAAAACAAACAGCAGATGACTGCACCTAACAAACAGTGTAGCCCATGGGTGAGATCACATATATAATAAATATATGTACATATGTCAGTAGGATCTTTATCCTTTACAAAATGTTTGATATCTCAAAGAGAAAAAACATTAATAGTGCATTATGTCCTTAAGAGCAGACAGAATGGGGATTGTACCGTCTACGCCCAATACAGCAGAGCACTTTGTAGCTCTATAAAGTGTGAGTTTTTGTCCTATATACCATTCTGTCTGCTCTTAAGGACATACTGCACTATTATTGTTTTTCCTATTTTTCTCTTTGCGATATCAAACTTTGTGTAAAGGATAAAGATCCTACAGACATATGTATGTATATTTATTATATATGTGATCTCACCTATGGGCTACACTGTTTGTTAGGCAAGGTCATCTGCTGTTTGTTTTTTGCTATAGTTTTACTTACATCTGTTTACTGTGACGTTGGGGCATAAGCCCTTCAGGCTTTTTGCAGTAAACACTGTCTTTTCAGAGAAAATGCAATGTTTACATTACAACCTAGTGATAACTCCACTGCCACTCCTCAGATGGCTAGAGGTGCTTCCTGGAGACACTGAACTTTCCTCCTAGAGATGCATTGATTCAATGCATCTGTAAGAAGATGCAGATTGGCCAAGGCTCTGTTTGACTTGTGCTGTCTCTGCCCCTGATCTGCCTCTTTGACAGTCTGAGCCAATCCTATGGTAAAGCATTGTGATTGGCTCAGAGAATAACTTCTGATGATGTCAGCCAAGCAGGCAGATCAGGGGCAGAGACAGCAGCTGCAGACTTCAATTCAAATAAGATTTTACTATATTTAGGGAGGCAAGGGGGGATCAGGGTGGCTAGATGGTGTTTTTAACACTATTGGGTCAGGAATACGTTTGTTTTCCTGACCCTATAGTGTTCCTTTAATGACTCTGTAGGAACCTTAAATCTGGTTATATCACAACAAAGATTTATTTTACTTTGTAACCTTCCTGCACAGAAGAAAAGCTAAACCTGCTGGAAGTAGAACAAAGATTAATATAAAAAATGGCAAAGGCAGGTTTCCAAAGAGCTCCAATGAAACATGCCTTGGGGTTGTTGCACTCAGAAGTTCTCACTGCAAGGGTTTTTTCATATTTGCATGAGTATATTTTGAGGCTTACCACCAGAGAATTGGGCACCCTCATTGGCTTGTTATTACAAACTTCTATTCTCAACGTATAGTGCCCATGTGGCCCCTACCAGCATGGAGCAAAGGAAATTTTTTTATTTTTTTATTCTTTATTTATTCCAAGACAGGGTATCTCAAGCAATACATATATGACATGATAAGAATGCGCACAATCAGACATATATACGTTCACAATGACATTATACATTGGTAAAAAGGCTGTACAAGCAAGATTGTAAAGGCCGTATGAATGATAATCATGGATTGTGGTTGTGACTCTGGGTGACAGAGTAATTCTTGTATTCATACGTTTCAAGACATCCTGTCGGGTTTTTTTAATAATAGATAAAACATGAAACAACCGCACATGCATTTGTTAAAACGGTTAGGAAGATCTTATTGGTCTATATTTGCTCCCATTTCCCCGTTGTAACACTCTTGCAGTCCTACTGTGCACAGTGGTTCATTGTAAACAAGAAGAGATAAAGTAAAAAAAAAAAGAGAGGAAGAAGTTCCTCAAGTAACTAAGAGGGTGGTAAGGGGAGGGAGGGGAAGGGGACTCGAGGGAAGCCATTTGAAACAGGTGCCGTGGGGGTGAACATTCCTGTAGACTGTGTTAGAAAATAACTGGGGCTCTCTAGTTCGTGAGCATCCCCTAGGGGGATCTTTAAAGTCCCCCCATGTGGAGATATTTCAAATGTTAAGTTTCTTGTCATTTTCTCAAGTACACTGAGCGGTTTGTGTGGGTGCCTGAGCCCACCCCGCCTATCTCCTAATCACTCACAGCGCTGTTCATCCAGGGGCCCCAAGTATTATCAAATTTCTTCATTGTCCCCCGGACCTGTCCTGTCAGCTTGTCCATTAGGAACGTATCTTTTATTTTTTGTTTTACCACAGATATAGTAGGAGTTTCCCTCTGTAGCCATACCTGTGCTAGGGCTCTTCTGGCAGCTAGGTTTACTTATGTATGAGGTGTTGTTCCGCTCTTGTCCAATCATCCATGGATCTCGACAATAGTAACACCCACGGGTCTAGTCTGACCTCCCTTTCAAAAACATCTCGCAGCAATGCCGCAATCCGTTTCCAGTAAGTTTGCACCTCCGGGCATTCCCACCACATATGTATATAAGTACCCTTATGGCCGCATCCCCTCCAGCACAAGATTTTTATGCATTCGGCACAGTGTCACTGGCGTAGTGTACCATCTAAATAAGGGCTTGTATGATTGTTCCTTCAAGGAGGCGCACACAGAGAATGCTGCAGCCACCTCCCATATTTCCGGCCATTCTATGCCCTCCAGTACCTCATTCAGATCTGCTTCCCATTGATCAATGTATGTGATATCTCCCCATTCTAGCATGTGAGTGCTCAAGTGAGGGTAGAGACATGAGATTAGAAAATTGCACATCCTTTCAAAAAACGTTAACTGTGTCAATGCAGCTGTCTTGATCCGAGGATCTCGGGCATAATCCCTAAGCTGAATATAGTGAAAATAATTAAAAGGTCTTAATGGGGCCCTGCTTTTCAGTTCTTCAGATGTTATAAAAGAACCATTTTCGAACAGTTGACACAATCTCTGTATTCCTGCGTTTTCAATACCCTTAAAATCCTGAGCTCTCATGCCAGGAAGAAAAGCTTTAATCCTTAAAATTGGGATCATTGGAGCAAAATACATTTTTATTTATTTTTTATGAAAGTACTTTTACTTGGGGGGCGGAGCCAGCAGCTAAGCCGAGGAGACGTGCTTCTGATGAGCTACCGGCAGAACAGAGCCTTAACACTGCTTATATCAGATTATATTCGCCCAAGTGCTCCCAAACTCAAGGGGAATCATCTCCATGGCGATGGGCCACAAGAACAAGAAATACCGACCCTAAAAAACCACAGCGACCGCTGACATAGGGGAGCTGCTGTGGAGGCCACAGAGATCTGTCATGGCGCCTCTCTCTGAAGAGCTCTCCCGATCATCCGTCGAGGCTTCCCTGGAGGGCGTGGGGATATTGAGCCAACAAGCTACAAACACCCACACCACCTACACTTACTGGAGGCTCCCCAGTAACGGAGAACACCCTGAGATCTCCTGGGCGAACTCCGACACAATATCACGCCCGACCTAGTCCAGTTCCGAGAGGAGCTTGGAGGAGTGTCCACACGTCTCCACGATGCGGAGCTGAACACAGCGGCTCACGAAACCCAACTTACCTTTCTTGCAAACAAACTGCAGGCGTTGCAACGCAAACAAGTCCTGGTTCAAGACCGCATGTCAAATATGGAGGACAGGAGAATGTGGAAGAACGTGAAGGTGCACGGCCTAACAACATAGAGGCTGCTGAAATTCCACACTTCTTCAGGAGGCTGCTGCTGAACCTCTTTAATGCCAAACAAGCTAAAGCTATACTGTTGGATGGCTGCTACAGAATACCTGCATTATCTAAAACCACAGCAGGAACCAGCAGAGATGTTATCCCCTTTCAGAATGGCCAAGACCATCTGACTTTTACGGCAGCGGTTCACAACAAATCACCCTACAAGTTTGAAGGCCACTCCTTAACTTTCTACCCAGATCTGTCCAAGGCCATGTTGGACTGGCGGAGAGACTTGCAGCCCCTAACTAAGGAGTTAAGTGCCAAACAAGTGGGGTTCTCCATGATGCCTGATCATCCCTAGAGACTCTAGGACTTTAAGGGTTACAGATGCCTCTGAGACCACTACTGGTCTTCACACGCTGGGACTGCCAACTGACACAGCAGAGTCGCATCCTCCAACGACTGCACTAACGCAGAGATCCTGGGACCCTGACAGGGTTCGTCCGTTTGTCCCAGCTGCACTGAGACGGAGCCCCACAACCGCAGTGATATTGTAATAGCAGCCTGAAGGCAACATCCATTGCCCCTTTATTGTTATGGTTGTTTCTCATGTTTTGTTTCCCTCGTTTATTTTACATATTCTTTTTTTTAAGCTATAACATGTTGAGTGCCCCCAGAGGCTCACCCTTTTGCACGGCCTAGCTGTACCTGCTGGCAAATGGGGTCTAATCCCCCATACTATCCTTACCCCCCACCCACTTTGAAGTCTCGACCCTATTTTTAGCACTGTGGGTGATAGCCTTCGGCAATCCTGGTTTGATATACCTACCTATAGATTTACATATATGTTGCAAAGGCAGCTGGCATTCTTTATTTCAGTGTAACTACTTAATCAACCTCATCTTAATTCCCTGTGGAGTGAGATGGCCCAATTACTACGTTTACATATTACGTTACGTAATCTAACTTTAAGAGGCAACTACTGATAGGAGACTATTCGTGGATGTACATTGAACATGTGAAACTCCTGATTTTTCTGTACATGTATACGCTTGTCCATAACTCTTTATTCTACACACTGTGCTTATCTGCCTCAATAAAACAGACTGACAAAAAAAAAAAAAAGTACTTATAAGGTGGTCTTGGTATCTATAGTGTCTCTGTAAGTAGTATACCTTGGGCATGTTGCACTCGCAAAGTCTTCACTACAAGAGATCTCATTTTTGGTCTAGATTCCCATTTTAGATGCGATAAGTCAGATATTAAAATGACACAGGTTTTTTTTCTTTCCTGTAATGTGAGTTAAAACTTGTTTGAGACCAGAATGGGACCTAACTATCCGAGTATTAGAAAGATAACATGAGCACCATAAATGCTTCTGTCAGTTTTGTTTTAAAACAATGCCTGTATAGCGCTGCTGATGAATGTACAGCCCTTACACTGGAAGACTCTGCGAGAGTGCCTAACAGTTCAGGCTGTCTGTGCTTTGTGCACTTGTAAGTTGTACTGGGCAGCAAAGAGAACTTAAGAAAACCCTATGTAGAATGGTGAAAATGTATTTTAATATTTTATTTAATGCACCATTCAAATGCATTTAATAAGCTGAAGTCTTTCTTTAAGTTTTCGCTTACTCTCATATTTTGTCTTTGGCTTCTATACAAAGAAAAAGAACCGATAATCTTAGCTGGTTCTGGTTCGCTAGACAAAACACTCCAAATTCTACTCCTGAAGATCAGATATGGAAAGTGTAACCTGTGGGGCACAAATTGATTGATGTGTTATTGTGGAATGGTGTTAGGGCACTCCTTCCACTATAAGCACTAAAGTGGGCTGTTGAGGTTATGGGTGTGTTTCTTAAATTCCCTGCAATGCAGAGTTAGATGAATGACCCTTTATTTATTGAAAAGTTTTACTCGCAATCTGACCCTATATTTTTGAGGTACACACTACAGCATTCAATTCCAACCTAGAACTGATCACATTTGCCATGGTTTCTTGTCAATCATCTTTATGAGATAGACCTGTCTTTCAACATAACATTTTTAAGGTGGAATAAAAATTACAATTGTGCCAGGACTAAACTGGATTGCTATACCAATTGTTAAATCTTTAATACATAGATTTAAAAGAAAATTGTGTCAATCTTACACGTAATTGTTTTTAATTAAATGTCATTTTTAGAGAAATTACAGTTCTGCAATAAAAATGCTACTATGACAAAGGATCACCCCTAATGTTTAGCAGATACTTTGGTGCCTGAAAGAAACCATCCACAGATAGTATTTGTGTTAGTCTATGAGAAGGTAAAGCAGTTTAGTGCTGCAGGTCATAAAATTATGCATTTTTCCTCAAGAATCAGGTTGTACATTTTTTGGGGTCTTTTATGTAGATCGGTTTGAGCTCAGAACCAATAGCCCAGCTATATACAAAAGAGAGACCCTCAGGTAAAAATTATCTTTCGGTGGAACGTCTACGCTACATTTTGGAAAGATGGAATCAAAGGGTACAGGAAATGTACTTATAAAATGTAGAGATAAATGTAAGGGTTCCAGTCATAAAAAGGATATATAGTTAGAGTTTTGGAGCAGTCTATTAGGTTTAAGATGTGAACAGAACTACTGATCCATAATACTGATACACACACACACACTAGAGCTTAAAAAACACATTAACTGCAGTCGTTACTGCGACTATGTCTCAAAGGAAGAGAATCCATACATTTTTCAGTAGAGTACCAGGTGGGGAGGTATTTACTGTACTTTGAGCATTAGATGAATGTGAAAAGATGTGGCATTGTTAAATAATCTTCCTCCTTAGTCTTGCCCTTGGCTAGGACTGGTTCGAACATAGTTTACAATAATAATGATGCAGTCTCTGGACAGGGTAGAGTCATGAAAAACCAAGTGCAGTGAACGTACAACAATCCATTTTCAAGCATACAGAAAACACCAAAATCAATTTGAAACAATTTTATTTATGGCTCACAAATGGTGCGAAAGACAAATAAATAATTATTTCTGCCATCTGTAAGAGGAACAGAGTCACAGAAAAAAATGCAACACAATGCCACAGATCTCCAGAGAGGCAACTTTACTTGTCATTTTCAAACAAGGATGGGATCTTCCTCTTGTTGTTTGCATGTTCTTGGGTTCCCCATGAATAGGTTACATACATGAGCAAAAAAGCTGGAAGTGAAACAAAAAAACAAAAAAAAAACAAGTGTGTAAATATCTGCTACATTACAATAAGAAAATAAAAACATTAACTATGCAGAATATAAATCATTGGATACAAATACAATTGAGGAAAGCTCATAGCATTAACTGGTTAAGACCTCCAGCACATACAAATTAATGCACAACAATACAACATGTTGCTGTTCAGCTTCCAGACCACTACCTACACTAATAAAATCTGCCGCTTCCAGAGTTGTTAAAATTACAATGAAGGTTGCGTGATAGTGTCAGGGTCTGAATCAGTGTGTCCCTTAGTAGGTTTAGTTTATTGGTCCCCTTTATTAAAATGTACTGAATGTACCTGTAATCCACCCCTGCTTCTGAGACCATCAATCATGATGATCGATGTCCAATCAGATGCTTCGCTTAGAGAAGCAATGAAAGCACAATGAACATTTGTGTGGAAACCGCCATAATCTGCCAATCCTATGCTTCTGTATGAGAATAAGCTGTGCTCAGCGCCATGTGAAGATCTACTAGAAGACATTGTTCCATTTGTTGTCTGGAAGGTACAATGTAAGCATTGCCTGGCACAAGGGCATCTGTGTACCTAAACCTCAGTGGAAGTGCCTTATACTGCACAAAACCAGTTAACATCTCCCTCCTTTGAGTGCCCCTCAGCATACTGTGATCCAATGTAATGCTCTGTGTTTAATACAGGATGTCTTTTAATCGACAGTATTTTTATTTTAGTATTTTATTTATAGATATAGCTCACATATCATTACTTTTCTTATACTCTCATGTGGAACTTAATATTTCATAAACCTATGGCATATGTGCCCACTATCTGCCATTTGTGTACCAAGTGGCAGGAAGTTGGATGAAGACACAGGTAGAGGTAAGTGCATCTCCACAGAAGATGCATAAATCACAGTCAGGTTCTGTTGAGGGGGGTGGAGGGGAGCCCTGTTTTTGCAAAAAGATAAAAATAAAAAGAAGAAACGCTATATTGGTTCAAGAAATATATGGGCCACAATTCCACAAACTCTTTGCATCATGACCACCACTATAAGCTGTAAAGGTTATGCAGCTTACAGTGCCTCTTTAAATAATAGATTGCTATGATGGACTAGACAATGTATGGTTTTAAGGGGTAAAAAGGTTTAATTAAGCAGCTTACTTTGCATTTGTGGAAAAGTAGAGCACTGCAAAAACTGATGGAATATAGGGATTGGGAGGAACTTTTAAATCATACAGTGACGGAAGTTAGTGAATTAAAGACATGCATTTTGTTAAGGGGGGTGTTTGGGGGCACATTGGAACTAATCCAACATGCACATTAAGGCCTAACAGTGAAGCTGAGTAAAAGCTTTTTAGTGATATTTTCTCTAAAACAGCCTGAGAAAGTGTGTAATTATTCTACATTTATATTCAAAAGATTATAATTGTAAGAAACATTATTTTATTAAAGAATTAAAACATGCTGGGGTCTCTCTTGGTAAGGCATAGAATAGAAGTAACTGGGCATGGTTTCAGTTAGATTTTGGCATGTATCATTATTATGAAGAAATGTCTGTTTATATTGAGGGTTCACTGATGACATACTGCACATCAAATAGAAGAAGAGAATGATCCCAAGTACTGGGCCAAAGAACAAACAAGGTTACAATTTATCCTCAGACAGGGAGCAACCTACTAAATATTTTGCATGATCTTAGTAGTGCAACCTCAGATATCCACATATTTAACAGAGGAAATTGCATGGATCTGCAAAGCTCGGTGTTACATGGAGTACACGCTGTATGTGGCTCCACTCACATCACTATATACACCAGAGATGAGGAAAGCATATGAAGACTTCCATCTATTGAGCAGAAATAGGTCACCCTTTTTTTAGGGGAGGGGGTATTGATATATTACAACTACAGGATTGAGGAAAATAGGCACTACTCCAGGTGGACATTTTAGTTGGATAATGGGCTACCAGAACTAGTGGGCAGGATAGGGGTATAGGCTGTAATTACTAGTACTAGTGAAATAAGAATGTGCTAGTATTAGTAGGTACACTCAAGGGAAAGGAGAGAATGTGCTACTGCTACCACTGGGCAAAGGACGGGAGAATGGACTAGTACAAATACTGCCTGCTAGTAGCAATGGGAAGTGAATCTGCTAATGACAAAAAGGGAGGGGGACTCAATTCTGCTGATATGGAGAGTGTGTGTTTAAGTCATTTCTTGCATTTATGGTCATGTGGCACGAGGTAAAAAAAGAAAATCCTGATAAATGAATACTTACGTGGGGCCACTTTTAACACCTGTGCTGAGAATCTCCGCCACATGTTCGGAATGCCTTTGGAAAAATAGTGTGGGAAAGCTTTCTGTTCGAAAGGAGACAGACTGTAGGTGATGATGTGCCGCACTTTAGCTAGGTTTCCGAAGTGAAGGCCTCCCATGGTTTATCACTTTTCTCTGTCAAATAATTGCTAAATTAGAAACACAATGAAGCAAAGTCAGTTAACATTGGACTATACACATCTACACGCACTGTGAATCTCAAAACGTAAAGGTAAAAGTTGTCAAACTGAAAACAACAAAGCTGACTTCCAGGTTTTTGTTTTGTTTTTGTTTTTTAAACTCTGCTATTTTAGTCTGAATTTTTTTAATTCACTCTCGAACAAATATATCTACATACAAGGGTAAGAGAAAGACTTGCCTTCAGACAAGTATCACATCGGTCTTTAATTTTTAGCACAGAACTAAATTGGAATTATCAACAGTACCTATTCGGGTCACTGTAACATCTCCAGTGAAGATCGTAGAGCTCTTAACCCAATCCCGATGTTAGGGAGTGCTATGCCACCCCAAAAAAGGAGAGCTTTAACTCTGTTAGGGTGGCATATCACCCCAACGATCAGGACCTCCCTGCAGCCCAAATACCCTTCTCAGGGTACCCTCCTCAGAGTCATGTGATCGCAGTGACACTTATGGAATCATAAGGTGTACTGTAAATAAATCATGACATGGAATAATATGTCATGTGTTGTATTTACCTAATTTTAACACCTGCTAAAGAACAGATTATTATTAACGGATATGTGCTTTCTTTTCTCCATGAAAAAATAAATAAAATGTATATATATGCAGCCTTAGGGCGCACTGGCCGAGGGGGCGCACTATGTTAGAGTGACCCGGCAGAAAGCAAGCGCCCAGCGCTCCCTCCTGCCAGTCACTCAGTGTAGCTTTGGCGAGCAAAACACACCACGGTACAGGAGCTTCTAAATTCCTGTACCCAGCCAGACTGACAGGATGTGCTCACACTGTCTGCTCTGCTCGCTACAAGAGAGGTAGGAAGCACACCAGGGAGGTAGGGGAGAGAACACAAAGGGACAAATGGTGACACACTATGGGACAGGGGAGGGAAGGTATATGGAACACTAAGGAACAGTGGGAAGGAGGGACACTAAATAGAAGGGAGGGGGGAGAGAGGACCACTAAAGGACACGGAAGGGAGGGGGGGAGAGAGGACCACTAAAGGACACGGAAGGGAGGGGGGGAGAGAGGACCACTAAAGGAAGGGGGGGGAGAGAGGACCACTAAAGGACACGGAAGGAGGGGGGAGAGAGGACCACCAAAGGACACCGGAAGGGAGGGAGAGAGACCACCAAAGGACACGGAATGGAGGGAGAGAGGACCACCAAAGGACACCACCGGAATGGAGGGAGAGAGGACCACCAAAGGGGAAGGGAGGGAGAGAGGACCACTAAAGGACACGGAAGGGAGGGAGAGAGGACCACTAAAGGACACGGAAGGGAGGGAGAGAGGACCACTAAAGGACACTGAAGGGAGGGAGAGAGGACCACTAAAGGACACGGAAGGGAGGGAGAGAGGACCACTAAAGGACATGGAAGGGAGGGAGAGAGGACCACTAAAGGACATGGAAGGGAGGGAGAGGACCACTAAAGGACATGGAAGGGAGGGGGAGAGGACCACTAAAGGACATGGAAGGGAGGGGAGAGGACCACTCAAGGAAATGGAAGGGAGGGGAGAGGACCACTCAAGGACATGGAAGGGAAGGGAGAGGAACACTCAAGGACATGGAAGGGAAGGGAGAGGAACACTCAAGGAAATGGAAGGGAAGGGAGAGGAACACTCAAGGAAATGGAAGGGAAGGGAGAGGACCACTAAAAGACATGGAAGGGAGGGGAGAGGACCACTCAAGGAAATGGAAGGGAGGGGAGAGGACCACTAAAAGACATGGAAGGGAGGGGAGAGGACCACTCAAGGACATGGAAGGGAAGGGAGAGGAACACTCAAGGAAATGGAAGGGAAGGGAGAGGAACACTAAAGAACATGGAAGGGAAGGGAGAGGAACACTAAAGGACATGGAAGGGGAGAGGAACACTAAAGGACATGGAAGGGAGAGGAACACTAAAGGACATGGAAAGGAGAGAAGAGGACCACTAAGGGGAAGGGGAGAGGAACACTAAGGGAGGAGGGGAAGGAGTGGAGAGGAAGACTAAGGGAAGGGGAGAGCTGAACGCTTAGGGACAGGGAGGGGAACACTAAACGAGGGAGGGGAGAGGACCACTAAGGGACAGAAAGGGGAAGTAAATCGTTTTTGTGTGAAAAATGCAATATATATCCTAACTTGGACAGGGTTTCTGATTAAGTGGATACTAAAAAAGACTAGACATACCTCATTTTGAATACCCTGGGTTATCTACTTTTGCAAATGGTATACAATGATGGGGTAGTTTTCATTCCTGGGCTGCTATACAGTCTCAAAGGCAACACAGAGCCAACAATCTGGAACATTTTAATAAGTAAAAACAGAAATGGGGAAGCTCTTTATTTGACCCTATAACTTTCCAAAACACCATGCAAACTGTACATGAGGGCATCATTGCACTTGTGGGACATCACAGCATACAAATATGCTATCCAGTTTGATATGCTTACATACATACAGCCTAGGATTACCTAAACTAGCCACTCCTCCGATGGCTGCTAGAGGTGCTTCCTTTGGCAGGGTTGCACACTGTGCAGCACTGCAATTCAGTGTCTCCACCCTCTGCATGGAGACATTGATTCAATGCATCTCTATGAGGAGATGCTGATCGACCAGGCTGTGTTGGGCTCGGCTCCTGATCTGCCTCCTTGAGAGTCTCAGCCAATCCAATGCTTTCCTATGTGAAAGCATTGTGATTGGCTCAGAACACCACTTCTGATAATGTCAGCAAAGCAGACAGATCAGGGGCAGAGCCAGCAGCAGCAGACTGGCATAAGGGTAAGATTTTGCTATATTAAGGGGGGCAAGATGATGGTTTTAACACTATACCCTATATGTTCCTGACCCTATAGTGTTCTTTTAACCTTGTTACAGACCCCTGGCAGTCAGACAAACGGTCCTGTTACTTCTTGGTTTGGTTAACTCAGTGGAGCTAAACTCTAGAGGCAGGCAATTATCCAGAGTACCTGCCTTTCAGAGACTTCACTTTGAGAAGTCTTTAATTGGACAGACACAGAAATTCTGGGTTGTGTTAGGAGGACTTGAAAAGGCTGCAGATGAGATCTGCAGCTTTTGCAAGCGGTTTTAGATATAGTCCCAATAAAAGGGGAAAAAAAAACAATTAAATGTATGCTTTCACTGGGGATATATCGGGAACAGTGGAGTCTCCCCTTAACACAGAAAGAAATTAACATACATTATTTGGATGTTTAAACTGTATGAAACCTATGACTTTTTTACATTGTAGATGCTAACTGAAGATTATATTTGCAAGCTGTTTGTAGTTGCTAAAAAAGTTACCTTTTTCTTTAGGCTATATAGGTTATTCAGATACAACTTTGTTTTTCATGTTTGATACAGCCATATGTTTGAGCTTCATGATTTATGAAATGCTGTTCTCATTAAGACATTAAGTTGTTTATTTAATTATGGTACATGCAACTTTATTTCACTCACAATTTTGAACCTCTCTGTGATCTTGCTGCCACTTTGGCATTAAGAAATAAATAGGTTATGATTATGGTTTGGGCAACGGTACTCATGGTTTCCCCTCTCACTCTCATTCACCTTTGATCTCATTCACTTTCAATTTTCTTGGCGCTCTAAGAGCTTGTATGCATTGTATTGTTATGCTGATAAAAGTCCTAAATAGGGACTGAACGTAGATAATGTACTCTGCTTGAAACAAAGCAGTGAAATATACACTAGCAAGACCTAAATCCTCTCCTTTCTGCTTCTATAACTTTGGCTGGAGTTACTGCATCCAGGCAAGCACTACCATTTGTGTAGACATTAAGTGCTAAACCCAGATGTGAGACACACACACTCTCGCTCTTATTTTGGAATAATAATCCACTGCATCGTGTCAGATACTGTGCAATGCAAGGGCCTCTATATAGCATCATTATGACATTTCCAAGCAATCTTTTTTGCTCAATACGTGACAGCGATTTTATGTTCACGTAGAAAAAGGTATGCAAAGATGCCTCTAACAGCTGTTATCTTGGAAAATATTATACAGAGTCAAGGTTACTAAAGGTTGTGTGGAGAAGAGGGCATAGAGTTCAATTCCACCATATGTTCAATGACACTGCACTAAATAATATTCAAAGGCATCCACTTTCAAAGTAGTTCAATCTTGTCAGCAGTGCAGATTTATTTGTCCTGTTTTCAGCCAATATGCACTTGAATGTGTATATACACACACACACACACACAACACATACACAGAACACTTCATGAACCATGAGCTGATACTGTATTTCCTGGCATTGACTGTTTGTTCTATAATTTATCACAAGACAAGACACAATGTATTCATTCTGTAAATATTTAGCAATATAGGTATACAACCGTCACACCACTGGTTTTTTTTCTGTAACAACCAGTCCCCAAGGATTGTTTTTATTTATTTTTTTTTAAATGCAATTTCACCAGCCTGCAGTCTCATGCCACATACATGGACACATACTTTATAGTTTGCCAAGGTAAAATCAGTACTTGTGACCTTTTATTCAAGAGCAGCTGCTACGCTTAAAAGGACATCCTAGACCAGAGGCACCCGCAAGGATTCCCAGATGTTTTAAAACTACAGCTTCCACGAAGCCTTGTCATTCTAAAGGCAACACCTTGGGATCTTGAGATCTGTCCCCTGCCATAGACTTTAAATGACCACATTGTTTTGACTTTTAAAACAGATAGACATTGGCAGGATACGGAAATGCTTAATACCTCTCAGCCAATCTTTGGACTGCCACTGTTTTCTTTTAAGTCTTTATTTATTTACAAGAGATGACTGATGTGCACTCCCACAAAATTTAGCAATGTGTGTAAATTACGGAATTGCATAATAAGTTACATCAGAATAGGCTTGTACAAGTCTCCAGTAACATTTTTAAGTGAAAAGGATTTCACACTCAAGATAAAAAGATAAGAAAAGGGAAAGAAGTAATACATTAAGAAAAATGAAAACCAGAATAGGGGAAAGAAGGGACAGTGAGTAAAGGGAAGGAAGAAGAGATACATCCACTCAAAGCAATGGCAACAAAAATCCCAAGTCGCACAAAGGGGTCACAAACCCAAAGACTTTTTCCACTGTTTTCAATTGGAGTTCTTAAAACGCCCCACAAACGACTACCATCCAAGGGGTTATTGGAAACTACATTCAAAATGTGGTAAAGGGAAACTACATTCAAAACGTACAACTGCATTTACTAAATATTGCAAACATTTCCCAAGCCCTACAAGTTTACGTTTCTTTAGCTGCAGAACTGGCCTCTGTAGTTATTTAAGACATTCTCTTTTTCCCCCAGAACTTACTTCATTGTTAGTGCTGGGCATTGTCCAAGCAAATGTTTCTCATAGAGAAGCATAGAGGACAAATCTCATAAAGATGGGTGGTTTCTCTGGGTAATGTAAACATAAACTAAAAAAGGGAAATACAGTGAAAAGGTATTTCTTACCCGGTGGTGTGACTTGATGAACCAGTATTAGCAACTTATCTAGTGCATACAAGCAAAAATAAATCAGCATCAATTCACTGAAGTGATTAGTGTCTGGAGCTATCCCTCCATTCAGTGTTAAACTGTTTTAATTCTAAACCATCTATAACATCTGTGCTGCTACATAGGGATCGACCAATATTGATTTTTTTTTTACAGCCAATACAGATAATCTGTTAACTTTGAGGCCAATAGCCGATAATTTAACGATATTCTGTACATTTTACCATTTTGAAAAAAGTAAACTATTTCTAAAGGTAAATGCACAAAATATGCATGCCACATGTAGTGGATGCAGTGTGTTTAGACAGGTTAGCTGTGTTTGTTTGTGTAGTGTGTATATATATAGTGAATGCAGAGTGTGTGCGTGTATATAATGAATGCAGAGTGTGCTTGTGTAGTGTGTTTATAGTAAATGCAGTGTGTTTGTGTAGTCTATGTATATAATGAATGCAGTGTGTTTGTGTAGTGTGTATATAATGAATGCAGTGTATTTGTGTAGCGTGTGTATATAATCCAGAGTGTGTGTGTGTTTCTGTAGGTATGTAATTTGTGTAAAATGGGGGGGCGGGGGTGTGTGGGAGAGGGGCTTTTTAATTTACCCTTTTAAAAAAAACAAAAAAAAACAGGGGAGCTGAAGGGAGCCTTGCGGTCCTGGTATGTATTATCAGCTATATCGCTATCTTTATATGCTGATACCGATATTGCCAAAAATACTGAATATTGGCCGATAATCAGTCAATCCCTACTGCTAGGGCTAACGAGGAAGAATTAGCTAGACCAGCAAAAGGTGGTGGAGACTGGCTGAGAATGTTAGCTGTCCACATTTAGATAAGCATGGCACCCAGTGATGGTATGAATTGGTATTGCTAAAAAGTGTGTAATCTATTACTTAGCAGTACCTCCACTGGGTGGAGAACAAAGGGGCATCCTGTAGACTTTTTCTGCCTACATCTGCTACCTGCATTTCAATGAACTTAATTGCTTAAAGGGTTACTCAAACCATTATGACTACTACATCTCGCTATAGTGGCTATGATGGTAGAAGTATCCTACCCCCTTTCCTCATAATGGGGCAGTGCAGCCTCTTTCCTGATCCTGAGGGGCATCAGGTCTCCACGCTTCTGAAGAGCTTTTACCAATGTAAATCCTGCCACTCATTCATTGATAATGTTGGCTGACCGCTGATTTTGATTCTGTGCATTAAAAAGTGCACAAAATTAGCATTAGTCTGCTCATAACTCTAGTTCTGGGCTCACTGATGGCACCTCAATGACACTGCCGGAGGTGGAGTTACACCTCTGGCAGCAGAAAGGTTAAACTCGCATTGTGCAGCGTTTCAAAGTGAAACGCTAAAAACTTACAGACTCCAGGAGCACTTATAATGAAGGGCACAAACCAAACATACCATACGACAAAGCATGGTGGAGTTTCTCCGCCAACTTTTGTTCACTACAAGTGATGGCTGTGGGATTCAGGCATCCCAATATATTAATTGCATGCGCAGTAATTTAACTTGTGTTTTTTGGTTTTTTTTAAGAATAAATGTACTCACAACGGCTGTGCTCCTAAAGGATTATGTGCACTGCTCTTACAATGAAAAGAAAAAAGGCAGTATTAGCTGACAGATATCAGGGATTTGGGGTCATCACTGCTTTTTAAAGACCTCCTTCAAGCATTTATTTTAATAACTAGCTCCCCCCTCTGCAGTCTTCTGTCTACAACTCCCACAATGCTCAGCTAGCCTACAGATTGGCTGAGCATGGTCGTACAGGTAGTCCACAACACAAGATCTAATGCTCTGCAGCCTGGCCCAGGGCTCCAGCACAACTGGAGCCGTCAATCACTCCCTTACTCTGTAATGTCATTATTCCTCCTTCCTGGGTTATATCCTAATGATTGACAGCTCGGCTTCATTGACACTCTGCAGCTACATAGCCAGCTATATTGTCCATAGCCACAGGACATTGAGAATTCATGTCTCCCCGCACTGTGTGGGATACAGTGACCGCCATGCAGCTTACCAGCGTCTCACACTCAATTAATAAACTCCGGGTACAGCGTCCGCCCTGCTCACCCTCACCGCACATAGGACAAACGTAACACACGGAGCGCTCACCTTGCCCAGAAACTGCGGACACCCAATGCCAAGCACAGGTCACAGAGGTACTTCCTCTGCCGCTGACTTCCGTTTCCGGGGCAGAAAGAATCCTCAAAAGAACGGAATGCTAGAGGTGTGCGCCATCTAGTGGCCGGCGGTGAGAATGGAAAATGTGTATTATTATTATTATTATTATTAATTATTATTATTACATCTCTTTATAAACCACCAATATATTTTTCAGAGGTAAAGATTTGCAATAGGTGAACTAACATACAAGTAGTTGTAACAAGGAGCTCAAACAAGCTTTTGGACTAATGGGAGTATGGTATAATTAAATAAGAAGGCTGTTTGCTGGGAGAGTTTACAGTAAAATGAGCTCTTTATAAGGAGCACTGGAGGGGGCGGGGCTTAGCAGCCAAGCTGAGCGGTTGCACATTATTATTAATTTATTATTTATATAGCGCCATCAGATTTCGTCAGGCCCAGACTGGCACTCAGGCATACCGGGCAAATGCCTGGTGGGCCGTGGTGGCCATGTGCCGAGGACGGCAGGGGAGGTCACAGGTTCTCACTATCCGAGCACCAGCCCCGCTGTTTTCCATGACGGGCCGGTGAGGAGATCAAAGATCTCCCACACCGGCCCACTTAAATAAACATGCAGCTAGGGAGGGAGAGGAGGACCCGGCGGAGCTCTATCTTGCAGCTCCGCCAGGTTCCTCTCGCGAGATCCGGAGCGTTGCCATGGCAACGCCCACCATCTCGAGAGAGTGAACTCTAGCCCGCAGGCTAGAGTTCACTCATCACTAGGACCACCAGGGATGGTGTGAGAGTTGCTGGTCGACCCCCCCGGGGGTTGCTGGTCGACCCCCCCGGTCTCCCAGGTACCACCGTGCCGGTGTCCCCCCTCCCAGGCTAAAGGTAAGAAGGGGGGGGGGGACATAATCCCTGCTTAGTTTTTTTTACTTGTTTGCTTTTTACCCCCCTTCCCCACATACAATCCCTTCTAACATTTACACTCAGCACTCTCACACACATCATACACAGCACCCACACACATCACCCACAGCACCCTCAAACAAATGACCCACAGCACCCTCATACACAGCACCCACAGACAGCATCCATCGCACACTCTGCAGCCTTCACATACACACTACACCTCTCACACACACCCACTGCACCCTTCACATACACACAGAACCCCCCCAACACACTGCACCACACACATACACAATACTTCCAAACATATTTATATTTTATATATATATATATATATATATATATATATCACCCCTCACACACATACTGCACCCCTAAACACATTACATTCCAGACACACACTAGATCCCTTACCCAACCCTGGATCATCTACACACATACACACACTAGATCCCTATATACACTCTGAATCCGTTATATACGCACACTCACTAGATCTCCTATACACATTCTGGGTCCTTCAAACACCCACTAGACTCCTATATATACACACACACACACACTACACTCTTAACATACACAGTCTGGATCCCCTATTCACACACTAGATTCCTTGTAAGCAAACACATACTACATCCCTAAACACACACTCTCTACATCACCTTTACACACACACACACTGTATGCACACACTTGCTACATCCCCTATACACACATCCTCTACAGCCCCTAGCCACATATGCATTACATTACACCACAAACACAAAATGACTAAAACCGACCTTATTACACAATACCACACCACAATCAGCTCACTCTACACACACGCAATCCCATAAGCAGGCTCCAAACACATGCACAATACTCTTTCCTCGCCCCTTTGTCTCCTGGTATCCATTTATAGAGACACCAGAGACAAGTTGCAAGGAAACACAGAGCAAGCATGTTATTAAATTTGCTTGCACTGTGCAAAACAAGTGCAGGGCTTTTTTCTCATGCTAGAGCTCTTCAGCAGAGCTCTGCGCGTGGTCTGCCCTGGAAGAGCATTGCACCAACATGCTCACTTTGAGAGGGGGCGTGTTTGTCATTAGTGATGACAAAACACACCCTCTCTGCCCCGCCCCCTTCTTAGTGGGCCGCTGTGATAAAAAAATGCCCAGACCAAATTTTTTCCCCAGTCCGGCCCTGGATTCCGTTGCGCTGTACAATGGGTCGACTAACAGACATGTAATTGTAACCAGACAACTGGATGTACAGGAACAGAGAGGTGGAGGGCCCTGTTCAATGAGCTTACATGCTAGAGGGAGTGAGGTATAGTGACACAAGGGGTAAAAGTAGGGCTACGAAGTAGGTTGTTAGAAAAGTATTCACTGAGGGCTTAGTAGGTAATATTTGACAGTTGCAGGAGAGGAGTCAAAGGGGGTGGGGGATAAAAACTAACAGTTTAATTGATATGCTTTCTTGAAGAAGAGAGTTTTCAATGATTTTTTGAATGAGTGGAGACTGGGTGAAATTCTTACAGAGAAGGGAAGGGAGTTCCACAGAAGAGGTGCAGCCCTGGAAAAGTATTGGAGGCAAGCGTTAGAGGTGGGAGTACGGACAGAGGATATACGTAGGTCTTTGGCAGGATAGGTATGTTGGAGCAGCATTATGTAGGGACTTTTAAGCAAGCACCAGAATTTTAAATTGAGCCCTATATCTAGCTGGAAGCCAGTGCAGGGACTGACAGAGCAGGGAGGCGTGGGAGATGCAAGCCTTGCCGCTGCATTCATTATAGATTAAACGGTGCAATCTGGGAACACAGACCACTGAGAAGAGTATTGCAATAGTCCAGGCAAGCGAGAACAAGAGCACGGACCAGCTGCACGCTATGTTTTTGAGATGGAAGTGACAGGATTTGGCGATTGATTGGACATGAGGGGTGAAGGAGAGGTTGGAGTCAAAAAGAACACCCAGGCAGCGAGCCTGCAAGGTAGAGGTGATGTAGCGCTGTTGACTTGGAGGGAGACAGACACGGGAGTAGTAACACTTGAGGGAGGAAAGACCAGAAGTTCTGTTTTGGACAGGTGAAGTTTAAGGAAGTGAGCAGTCATCCATTTGGAAATCGAAGAGAGGCAGTCAGAGACACAAGTCAAGATGGGTGGAGAGAGATCAGGAGAGGACAGGTAGATTTGCATCACCAGACAAGCTCCGTGCTAAATTGCCTATATTCTGCCAAAAGTACAGCAAATAGCCCTACTCAGACGACACAAGTGAAGAGGCCGATCCCTCCACCGAGTGCAGCCTACTCAACTGGAGTTCTCCCCAGACAACTCTCTTCCCTCCCCTTCCTTCCAGTGAAGGATATCCCAGCAACCACAGGCTGCTGCTCAGGAATGAGGCATCAGAATTGGCCTACCTGCACTGCCGGACCACGAAGCTGCAACTAGCAGCTCCTGGACGGGGCCAAGGCGCATCCCGGATAGTGGGGAAGAGGAGGCAAGCAACTCAACGACAGCTCCAACACCTCAGACCAGCGGTTAGTCACCCATTAGCTAAACTACGACATATCCTGGGACTACCCCCTAAACACCCTTCTCTCGTCCGGGAGGTCAAGGCCCCACCTGAGTGATGGCATATTGCCGGAGGAACCCAGGCCAGCAGGCACGACCCAGCCCTAAACCGCTCCCTTCCTGGGCCACAGATGGGATCCAAAGCTGGAACTCCTAAGGAATCTGGGGATCGCCGGCACAAGCTGCAGAGCTGCTGAATGGGAAGGCACCAACCCTGCCCACCACGAGGACCAGCATACCTTCGCAAGGCCCTGAGGCATTGCGGCGTTCACCACTGATCGGGGACTGTGTCAGCATCGGCTGAGCGTCATTCAAAGACTGGTACTTACCATTCATCATTTCTCTCCTCACGGCTTCCGCTGACACAACTCTGTCTAACTCCATGAGTTCTCTTTATCATAATGCATTCATCGCTAGCCTCCCTCACCACCCCACAAGCTACCCAGTAAGGCATCCCTAGACCCTCTGCTGAACCCTTGCAGTGGCTACCTCTTACACCAGCTACTGGTATAAGCATGTCTCATCTCAAATAGCACTTGTTATGCCTTTGTAGCTGTGCCCTAAGCAGGGATACAGTTCAATGTATTTCTCTATACACTACTTAGTGTAGTCCATCTCCTGGCTTTACAGCTCACTAATCTTCGTAAACACATAGCCTGTATGCTAGCTAGATAGACAAGATTAGCCAGGTTCCTACCCTGTCAAATCCTAAGCCAAGGTAACGTTTTATTTCTGGGTTTTTTTTTTTATTATTACGCTTAAGAAATAATCCTGTTTACTTATATACTTACAAAAAAAGTCCAATGTCTTATTAATGCCATGTGATCATATGTGAATATACACCTGGTTGCACCAGCTGTTGTGGCAGTGAACATCCTCATGTTACTACTTATCTGCACGAATAAAATAAATAAAAAGGAGTACTATAGGCACCCAAGCCACTTAATCTCATTGAAGTGATCTGGGTGCAGTGACCTTGTCTCCTTAACCCTGCAATGTTATTTATTGCTGTTCTTAGAGACTGCAATAATTAGATTGCAGGATTAAGACTGCCTCTAGTAGTTGTCAATAAGACAGCCACTAGAGGCACTTCCTGCTTGCTAGGTGACTTTTGGTCGCCTGACGCTGGATAAGGACTTGCAGCATCTCCAGGCAGCACAGCACAAACACAGCATTAGACACACTTGCATTGTTCTAAGCCCTAAGCGTACTAAGACCATGTATTGAGAGATTCAGGAACACTCTGTTTGGACTGCCCTCATAGAGCCTGACTGGGAGCCCGCCAATCAGTCTGGCATGCATTCACACTACACTTTCCAGAGGACTTGCGAATTTTGGTTGTTGCCAGTGACGCGAAAGACCCAACCTCCTATGTCCCAATCCCATATGTCTGAAAGGTACTGTGTGGGGAGACAGTGAGAAGGAAAAGTTATGAAGGAACACTGCCTCGTTTCAAGCAAATACATTTATTTATAACACTTGAGTGTTGTAAAGGGACACTCTGTTTAGGCATTTAATCTCATTGAATATGATATAGTACGTGGAGTTCCATGGCGCTGTCTCTCCATTCAGTGTTAAACCATTTTTGAGAGATTTAACACCAAATATAGATCTCTGGCCACCAGCATCCATGCCCCTACTGGAGGTATGGATAAGGCAGAATTTACATGCTTCCTTCTAATTATACCAGCAATGAGTGGTTTCATTGGCTGAAAGCAGTCAGGTGTCACACTCAGCCAATGGTGCTTAGGCTAATGCTTCATCATTAGCTCAAGTATCACAGAGTGGATTTGGTCTTGGGACCCTCTTTTAAATATAAACATTAAAAAGAAAACTGTTTTAACACTGAATGGAAGGAAGGTTCAAGGGGAGTTACCGTGAATGGATAAGAGTAGGAATAAAAGCCTACACGTACTAGGAGATCCCTAACCAAAATCGGAAATAAAAGTAGTGAATACTTGTAGTAAACTTCGAAATGACAAAACTGGAACAAAAAAATGGAGAAATGAATATAGCAGCAGCAAGCATAAATGTGAATAAAATGCAGTATACAAAATGGTCACTAGGTGACAGCCAGATACCATGCACTCTCACATAAGAAGGAAATGTTAACTAAAAGTTGAGTTGCCCACAAATATTGAATTCAAATTGGAAATATAAAAGACATAGTTGTAACTTGAATGGTTTGCTGCAAAAAGATAAATTTGCATAATATCAGTTTGATGGATAAAAAAAAACAAAAACTCAGTAGTCCAGAACGAACTTAGTAGAGTAAAATAAGTCCAAAGGTAAAAATCAGACACTTCTTAATGAGACGCCTCTGATTGGTAACTTGCCCATAGCAGACAGGAAGTCTGCTCCAGGGAAAAAAGGTAGGGCTTGAAAAGAGGCCAATATACTGCAAATACAAAAAAATGCAGAAATAAAATGCATGTTTTTATTGGTAGCATATCTACTAAAATAGTGATTATATTTGAAAATACACTTGAAATGAAAAAATAAATAGGGCATTTTAAATTATGAAAACGTCAAATTTTGAAGGACTAATTTGCCAAGTACATATCTCCTTTAGGGTAGAATATCCGGCTTAAAATTCAAACACTCTTATGACATACAATTTTTTTTAAATTAGACCACCCCTCCCCGGCCCATTTCACACAGGAGATTGAGTTTTTTTCAAAAAAGATAATTTAATCCCACATATCTGCCAAAATTTGCAGTAAGATTCTTTTAAAACCAAAATAAACAAAAAGACTCTCCAAGTCAGCTATGCCTTCAATCTGGCAACATGTGCCTTACATTTGGTCCACGCCTCTAATGCTGTCCTGTGGTTTTTATAAACTGCAATAATTACCTGCTAGGATTAACCCCTCCTCTAGTGGCTGTCTGCCAGAGGTACTTCCGGGTGGATAGGCAACTTTTGGTCACCTAAACGATGCTGGACGTCCTCACACTATGCATGAGGTCATCCAGCGTCACCGGAATCCCCATAGGAAAGCATTGAATAATGCGTGAAATCCTAATGCGAGTGCGGCCATTGCCGCGCATGCGTATTGGGTCTCCCCGCCGGCTGACCTCGGCGGGGGAGAAGCGTGGATCGAGCTGAGCCAACATCAAGGGACATTGGCGCTGGACCCAGGTAAGTGAATAACTCCTGCTGCACCACAGGGGGATGGGCGACATTGACAGAGGGGAAGTGAAAGTGACAGGAAAAGGAGTTCTATGAGGGACTGGAATGTTCCTTTATCAGAGTCATCATAAAACTATTCTTTCTAAATTACTTCTTGACATCTTATGCATAGGAAAATATGACCTATTCACCATTTAGTAAGTCTTCCATCAACCGACATAAATGACGTTATTTAACTGCAAACCACCCCCTAATCCATCATATGTTTCAGTTCCTGCAAGGGCAATATTGTCATATTGTATAATAAACAGACATTAACACAGACAGATTTGTTTGCATTTTTCAATTTAATTATGTGTGCAGTGAAATCTAACATTTGCTTTAACTTTGCAGAGAAATTGTATATATTCTACATTCCATGCCTTTTTGTTAGATTTGATTGCTTTAACAGGGAAGGAAATAACAGTATAGGAAACAAACATTCCCTTTGTCACAGATGCTTAAATTTTTCTACTAAAGACATTTTGTGATAAAGCATTTTTCTTTTAAATCGCAGCGCAAGGAAAAAAAAAAAAAAGCATTACAGAAAGTGAGTGCCAAATGCATAATTAGTTAAGAAACATTCAATAAGTGTGCTTCAATCTTACACATCTAGATCATAAATTATATATAGATCTAAAAGAAAGGATGAGATATTTTTTTACAGTTTTTTTTACAAAGTGTGTTGGTGTATCCCAATGTTAACAATCAAAAAGATACATTTTAGGAGATAAAGTCCCCATTGCTGTCACTTTCTATCTCTGCTTAAACAGTGAATATAAATGGACAGTAGTATTAAAGACTTCGAAGCATGGTCCAATTTGAGTTCAATAACAGATATAGCTCAAGCCTTTTACTAGTCAGGATTTGAATGTGTTACACAAATTATGCATGTTACGGAGGAAGATCATAATCTCAAAACAGGCGAGATGGATATTTATCTTAAAGCAACTACCTGCTTTACAGGTTACTAGATCACATCAAATGATTATCCAAGATAAATTAAGCCATCTATTACGACACAGTTTACAGGTGCACTAAATGTTGTATCTTTCTTTTTGTGAGTCATTTTAGCTTTTTAAATAGCATTTTCACATATGGGCATTACATCTCTGGTGTTGATGTGTATGACTATTATTTATAGTATTTCAATTATTCTACTTTCAATTGATGTCCAAAAAGGAGGTTTTGTAAAAACAAAAAAAATATATACTATAGATGGTCACAATGCAAATTTTGGCAAACTATACAAGTAAATACCAATATGTTGCATGAGTGTCAGGGGTACGCACAAGACATGATGCACAGCTTGGCCACCCAAGGATGACTATCTGACAATGGACAAAGGAGGTTGTCTTAAAGCTTTAGACAACTTTGTTCTCTGACACCACAGTGGAAGGAGGGCAGTTGTCCTTTGGACAACCATTTATTTTTTACCTGTTCATTAAAAAATGAGCTTTAAAACGCAAAGCGAATGTCAGTATTTTATGCAATCTTAAAACCTCCTTCTTAGCATCTAGAGACCCTTAGATATTAAAAACGGCAACACTGCAGCATTAAAACATCTATTTAAAGTGTGAAAGCGAGTGACTAGTTTCCTTTATACCCTTTGCATTTTTGATGGGCTGTTTACTTGAAAAGCAGTGGTTGGCCCATGGAACAGCAAAGAGCTCCTTTTTCCGTTTGCAGTGATAAGTCCCCTTACCCAGACTAATTTAAGCAAAAAAGGAAAAAAAATTGAAAAGATCATTAATGCTCTACTGTCTGTAGAGCAGATGTAAATTACACTTCCCTACTTATCTGAGAGAAATAGGGAACAGACATTTAACTGTATTAATTTCTTTTACTATTCCTGTATTAAGAAATGTTCCAGTTTTCAAGTTACAGGAGAATTTTAAATCCATGTGTAGAATGCTTACAATGAAACTTTCTCCTGTTAATCCAAAACATTGCCGTTTCTGACAAAACAGGATGGAGGTGAGCCAACACTGGTTTAAATAGTGGCAACTAGCGGCACGTGCACTTGGTGGCAATCATATCTTGGTACTCTTTGTAAGTAATGGAGTTATCTGGTTCTACTATTAAAACACTCATTGGTCTGTATTCAGAAGGGACACATGATGGACGGGGAATAGTGGAGTCCAGTTTTTCATAGATTATGTTCTGCACTATGGTATGAACAGGAGAACCATATCTATGGCCTACAACCCTTGGGCACTCTCCTTTGCAGTAGTCAGGGCTATAATGATGGGGTGCCAGTATCCACTTGTCCCAGTTGAGCTGGCTGAAGCGAAGTCTGAATTGGTGAAGTTCGCATTCATGTTGATGGTAAACAAATCGTTTGATGTACTCACTGAAATTGAATGTTTCAGAAATAGTCTCCTCCTCTTCTACCACACTGTCCTCATCTCTTCGGTGACGAGAGGATTGAGCCAACTGTAGACCACCCCCTAATTCATCAATAAAGTTTGAAATAAGTCTGCCTTGTTCATACCAGGCTGCAGGTTCTGCAACCTCAAATTTTCTTTTTCTGTGGTATGCTTTATGACTTGTGTCATTCAGGTATAGAAGTAAACATGGTGGAGACCTTGAGATCTTAAATGGTCTCTCCATTCCAAAAGCATAGGGTTGGCTATTCTTCAGGCAAGTAAGATTTAAAGTCAGGTGAATATTTTGTTTGTTATTGGAAATATGGGGTTGAAGGAAAGATGTCATATCTAGCTCAACCCACCTTTGTCTACTACGAAGTTGAAATTGGAAAAAGTGTGGTACATGGGGACAAACTGGGCTTGTGTCATCGTGGTCCAGTATCTCTACACTGCATGTGCAAGTGAGGTTGGATGAGGAGTATTGTTTGCTAACAGAGTAAAGTAAAAATGACTGGAGATTCTGTTCCAAAGCAGACACGCGGCCAACATTGAAAGTCAAATCCATTGATTGCAGGACATCTGAAATAAGAAAGAAAAATGGTCAAAATAAACATGGATAGCACGTCTTTCAGCACCATGTACTTTACATTTATATTGCCAGGCAAACATTGTTAGTCTTACAACAAATGACACTTACACTCCCCTCCTCCTTTCCCCTCCCCCCTAAAAAAAAGTATTTTGAAGTAGTGATTTCCAATTAAAGTATTTGTCATGTTCATTTCTATAAGCAGAGGGCCCTGTTTAGTAAAGTAGTTTTAGAGGTTTTTGTTGTAATGTTTATGGTGCTTAAGTTTCACTCACAAAAGTATAGAGATTTATATGCATTCATAAGAGAATTTCATTGGCAATATATCCAGTGGTGGAACTAAAGTTGAGAAGGCCCTGGTGCAAGAATTGTTTTGCCACCCTCCCCCCCATTGCAAGGATGGCCAAAAGGTAGATGGCCATCAGTCGTGCAACTTTCTTAATAATTTGCCAGTTTGGGATGTACCATTCACCCATCCTTGAGGGTTGTATTTAACACTGAGCACGGTTTGTGTGTAGGAATGTAAGCATGTTTTTGTATGTTTCTGTATGGAGTGTATGTGTGTAAATGTTTGAAAACAGTGGTTTACTTGTGTGTAGTGTTTGAATGCCAAGATGCGTGTCTATATGCATAGCCACACACATACACATCCAGATGTAAACAGTGACACATGCAGATAAACAGACAGGTATACACACACACTAACACATGCAGAAACAGACAAAGATACACACAATGACATTCATACAGATACACACACAGACATGCAAAATACACGGTTTTCTATGTTTTGAATGCAGTAGGGTGGCTTTCCTGAGGTCCAGTCAGATGGCTGAGACTATTGGGAGTCAGAAGCTCTCCCAGTCTGTACTTCCCTCCTTTCTGCCTGCTTCTCCAATGCAGCTCTGTGTTAACTTGGAGGAAGTGACTAGCTGCAGTTTTCTCTCAGAGCTGCCATAATTTAAAGGGGCCCAGTCGTGCTATTAATGGGCTGCAGTGCTGACCGTACCCCTGAAGATGCATTGGCTTTGTGTGGCTCTAAGTGCATGAGTCACCAGATGGGCTTCCTCAGCGTGCGGGCCGCGGTGCCGTTGCACCGGCGGTAGTTCAGCTGCTCAATATATCCCAAAGCCAATAAAAACACTGACATTTCACACCACTTTTTAGTGCAAAATTCCAGTTAAAACTACAAAGTTCAGACCCTTAAAGCATTTTAGCTTGCCGAAAATCTTTTTGTGTGTCCCCTTTTCTTTTTATTTCCCTATTTTACAAAACCGTGCAGTTTTCAATAGAAACTAAAACTTTTATAAATTAACCTGGTTACACCAAGGGACGTATTAGCCGCATGGAAAATAAGGCATTTGCCTTGGGTGGCATTTCCCAGGGTGTGGCAAAAAAAAACGCCCCCAAATGTCCAGGGCAAATGTCTTGTTAGCCTGGCAGCTAACTAAAATTCCGGGCGGGCGGCGCTGGCGAGGGAGCACTTTCCCCTGAGCTCTCTGCTCAGCTCCCTTGCGCGCCACAGAGTGATGCCGGGAGCTGGAATATGACGTCATAGTCTGGCTCCCGGCATCAGCCTGCGGCAGCAGCGAGAGCTGACTTCAGACTCCCAATAACCACTGGACCCCAGGGGAAGGGAGAACCCCCAGCATTCCCAAAAGTAAGGAGACTGGGGGGGTTGAATTTAAAAAAAAAAAAAAGTGTGTTAGCGAGTGAGTGTGTCAGGGAGCGCGCGTGTCAGGGAGTGCGTGTGTGTGTGTTAGTGAGTGAGTGCGTGTGTGTTAGTGAGTGCGTGTGTGTTAGTGAGTGCGTGTGTGTTAGTGAGTGCGTGTGTGTTAGTGAGTGCGTGTGTGCGTGTGTTAGTGAGTGCGTGTGTTACTATGAGTTTGTTAGTGAGAGTGTATGCGTGTCTGTGAGTGAATGTGTGTGACTGCTAGGGACTGTGTCGGTTAGTGAGTGTGTATGCGAGTCTGTGTATTTAGAAGGCAAGGTGGGGAAGGGTGGGGTGGTTGGCATCTGAGTTTTGTCATGCCTAGGGCAGCACAAAACCAGGATACACCACTGGTTACACCCCCTGGCTTTCAAGCAGACAATAGGTCCTGCTACTTTCTGGTTTGGTTAACTCGGTGGTGCTATACTCAAGAGGTAGCAATTGCCTCGCAAAGACTTTTCATTGAGCTTCATTGGAATGTCTGTAATTGGACAGCCACAAAAAGGCTGTGCTAGGAAAAAAGGGAAGAGTTTGCAAAAGCTGCAGACGAGATCTGCAGCTTTTGCAAGTTGATTTTAGATAAACTCCTAATGAAAAATACATAATTAAATGCATGCAAATTTCAATTTGGCTATAACTACTAAACAGTGATTTAAAAAAAAAAAATTGTATTTGGGCAGCGGAGTGTCCCTTTAAGTTTACCGATCTGCAATTCTCTAACATTTTGACCCCATTCCTTCATTGCCTGCAATGTATAATTATAGTGCTGGGAAACTGATGGTAATTCATAGTTTACTGGAAGATGAATTGAAAACCAAAACCTAAAGAGTTAGACAGCAGTTAATTTGGAGGGGGAAAAAAAAAAATGCAAATTTAGCAATAGTTATAGCTTGGTTATATAAGCCTGAGTGTTGCAGTTTTCAGTTCCACACAATTTACTGTTTAGTGAATAAACCCACATGTAGCAAATATACATGACAGCCACTTTTCATTGAGCCTGTAAATTGTGGTTTTTTTATTTGTTACAGAGCACATTCTAAAACTTTAGCTTAAACGTTTAAGGCTATTGTCACATTCAAACTATAATGGCTTTAAAGAAACTTTTTCATATTTGGAATACAAAGCTGTATTATTTGGATCTAAAATTCATTTAAAAAAATAACCATCGCTCTTTAAATATTATTTTCAATAACACTTCCCATTCAAAGTGAATTTCAAGATTAAGGTCAAAACAGCCCAACTGTAATAACAGATTTCAGTTTGGCTACTCTGGTCTTCAATTTTATATTCTCACATTAGCAAATAATTCTGATGGTGGATATAGTAATCCTATGCATAGGGGCAGCAATTACAGGCCTGGATAAATAATTTCTGCACACACTGACCTTTACGCTCCACCTTGTGTGTTGGTTTGCATTCTGTCCTTGGAGTGAATAGCCTGACTGTGTTGTACTCAGGGCTTTCATGAACCTTGGGAATTCCCTCCTTGGTGGCAGACATCTTGTATAGTCGTTTCATATACTTTATGGCTATTGACTGGGGTACTGGCATTCCTACTGTTAACCCTGGGCGTTGGGACAATTCCTTGAGCAGGGGAGGGAGTAGATTGTAAGCCTCTGTGTTGTACTGTAGGCCAGAACCATCTGTAGAGAAGGATAATAGCCAGGTGGTGTAGTATAAGCACACAAGAAGTGCTTTGGAAACAGCCATTCCTTGAAGGAGAGTGAGGGCAACTATCCAATTCCCTCCATGTCAATTTACAGCTAGTTCAGGGCAGGCCCAAGCCTCACTCTCTTAAATAAGCTTCAGCTGGATTTTTGAGGATAGCTGTTAACCTTTTCATTGCTGTAGTGGTTCTGGAAGTAATAAGCTTAATTATACTTTACATAATAGTATAATTAATTCATGTTTTAGCATCTAAAATATAATAACTCTAATAAGCAGAACTCCCACCCTTTTTTTTTGTACAACTTGTAACTGAGATGGGGATGATCACTGTGTTTAAAGGGACACTATAGGCACTCAAAACAACTTAGATTGTAGATTTTGAGAAATTGCAATGTTTACATTGCAGTACACAGACAGCTGCCAGAGGCACTTACAGGAGTAAACTGGACTCTGGGTCGCCTAACTGACACTGGACGTCCTCACTCTCTGCATGAGGACATCCAGCATCAGTAAAATCTCCATAGGAAAGCATTAAGCTAATGCTCTCCTATGGGGAGACCCTAACGTGCTTGCTGCACTCGCCACACATGCGCATTAGGTCCTCCCACCAGATTACTTCGGAGGAGGCGGAGCGCTGACCCAGCACTCAGGGAGATCGGCACTGGTTTCTAGTAAGTATATAAAGGGTTTTTTTTTTAACCCTTTATGTACTGCAAGGGGGGGCACTATGGTGTTAGGAATACAACTTTGTATTCGTAATACTATTGGATGCCTGTAATCCTTTCAGTGTAATGCTGCAGAGTAATGAGTGCTGGACATGGAAAGATTTATTTTTGCAGAATTTTTTGAAAGTCATCTGTTTTAAGCTAAGTGTATGAAAATACTTAGTTTAGGACAGTTGACATTTTTCAATGCATGATATATATAAAATACCTACTGGTATTTTCAGTTAGGCTCTCCATGATTGTTTTCTTGCAGCCAGGTGAAATAAAGGAATTTTCTGAGCACACTGAGAGTACTAGAGGGATTTTTGAAGGCTGCAATAGCAGTTTGAAGTTCTCTGTTGTAGAATGATTGAGGATGACAATAATGGAATTTCTTCTTCTGTATAAACATTTCACACCCTGTCTGAAATATTGAAAGCTTAGGGGTGCCATAGACTTTACAACATTCTGTCCCACAATATTTCTGTAAATTCCTGGTATTCCTGAACAGTGAAGGGCTGCCAACAGTCCCGAGACATCAGGATACTGTCCTTTGGCAGCACTGTCTGCAAGGTCCTGTTAGTTTCGAGACAGACAAGCCCCTTCATTGGAAAAGGTGTGAGGCTACTATGGTCACATTACAGGTGATGCCACCTCAGAGCCTACCCACCCATTCTGATCTCATGCCATCCTAATCTGATGTTGGGAGGTATCACTGCAGGCCGTTCATAATTAGTTGATTTATCCTATTTTTATTTGCTAGGTATGCTTCCCACATTTCAATAAATCATATACTATTTAAATAAAAAAAGAACTTATAAGTAGCATGGTTTAACTGAATTGCACTAAATTGAAAACTGAATGAGCCATATTTAAATCCAAACAAATTTAATTTACAATTTACTCAATTTCACTGTTTAGTGAATAAATCCCTATATTCTTTCAGCCATTCAAATTCTAACTGGATTTGAAATCACTGTTACAGGATATAAATTACCTATTTCTTAAAGTGTCACTCCGAATCCCTAAAGCACTTGGGCTTGCTGAAGTGCTTTATATGTGTGGTGTGTCTTTTTCTTCATTTTACAAAATGTGCAGATTTCGACTGAAATTAAAACGTTTACAAATTAACCTGGTTACATCTCACTGGGGTTTCAATCAAATCAAACAACTTGTCTTGTTACTTCCTGGTTAATTAGCTCAGTGGAGCTAAACTCAAGAGGCAGGACACTGTCCAGAGTACCTGCCTAGAAAATGCTTCTCATTGAGCTGCATTGAGAAGTTTTATGGTTGGACAGCCTCCGAAAGTCTGGGCAGGGCTAGCAGAGGAGGGTTTGTAAAGGCAGCAAACAAGAAAACTGCAGCTTTTCAAACTGTTTTTAGATATACCCTGAATGAAAAAAAATAAAATAATTAGATGTATGCTTGTTTTAATATGATGTATATCTACTAAACAGGGATTTCTATTTATATTGTATTTGGGCAGTGGAGTATCCCTTTAACACTTCTATAGTAGTTAAAAGTTTTCTGCCACTATATCCGCTACAGTGTGAGTGTCCTATTTTTCATCTAGTGTTCTGAGAAAAATCAGTAATAAAACTTGCCCTTGTAGATGGGAATTGAACATACTAAGTGGCCTTTTATCTGCCTTGGAACCTGTATTTCTATGTCATACATGATGGGTATAGCTATTTTCGTGTTGGTTTCCATGTCGACTTTATTCACTGTCTTTAAATTTCTTATCATGAACTTGGCCTTAAGGTACTTGCTGAAATTTTTGTTTACCGTACGGTGTACGTCTGTCATGAAACTTATTTTTCCACTTTCCACTTGGAAAAAAACCATTGGGAAATAAGATCATAAATAATATTAATAATAACACAATAGAAATATAGAATGTGACGGCAGAGAAGAACCATCAGTCCATCTAGTCTGCCCAATTTTTAAAGCACTCTCATTAGTTCATGGCCTTATCTTTAGCCTTTGGAAATACAGTTCCTATGGACTACAACTCCTATTGTGCTTTTGATCATGTAATGAATGGTATTGCACAGCAGGAGATTGCTAGCTACCGGGCTAAACTTGTTAAGTTAATTCTATGTGAGTTGTACTGAATTAAGCACATTCACATGGATAAGTGCCAGGGTACATTCCATGTGCTCCAAGTCTTGTCCTGTGCCCTGTGGTTTTTATTTGCAAGACGTCCAGAAAGATCACATGACCTTTGTTTTTTGAAAAATATGATTTCATATTTCATTTCATTGGATTGTGGTATAATCTGAGCCAGATTAACACAAATAAACAAACGCATTATTCCTTTATTCATAAGGATCACATCGGAAGTAATTTTACTATTCTAGCAGTTAGAATTCACTCTCTTTAAGGACAGCTAAATTATTGGAATTAAAAGTATATATATAATTGATTAAGCTACAATACTAAGTATGAATTCTTGTCTAACAAACAACCTGTACTGCCTGTCATTTTATAGAATAACTGCCAGCCAGAATAATATAAGTCTTCTATTATACAATAGAATTGGCAGGCACTGTGTTCTGGAGAGAATGGAACACAATAAAAAGGAAGAAGTATTACTATTCTGTCACTTGTAGTGCTTTACATGTTTACAACTATTCACTTAGATTTGAATTTTTGGGAATTCAATAGAGACTTTCACCTTTTAGGATAAAGTAGCTGAATACTAGCCTTATATTGGCCTTAAATTTGAAATCCCCTTGTGAATTTACCAAATACACAGTTTATTGAATAAGCTGAATTGTGAGGAACTGTGGTGCAACTTTAACCCCTTAGTGAACAAACCGCTTTTCAATTTTCTTACCGTTAAAGACCAGGGCTTGTTAAAGACGGTGTTTGTGTTTAGCTGTAATTTTCCTCTTACTCATTTACTGTACCCACATATATTATATAAATTTTTTCTTGCCATTACATGATCTTTTTAAAGATACCATTATTTTCATTTCATATAATTTACTATAAATTGTTTTATAAAATTTGATGAGAAAAGTTTCAAAAACTAATTTTCAAACTCTGACCCCCAAAATCTGTTAGGCATCCACAACTGCCAAAACACACCCATGCTAAATAGTTTCTAAATTTTGTCCTAAGTTTAGAAATACCAAATGTTAACATGTTCTTTTTTTTGTGCAAGTTATAGGGCTATAAGTACAAGTAGGGTATTTTCAAAATATATATTTTTAAAATGTATCAATAGTGACATTGTAACACTGTTATGTTATAAATCTCTGAATCACACCTCACATGTACTTATTTTTGTAAAGTAGACAACCCAGGGTATTCATTATGGGGTATGTCCAGTCTTTTTTAGTAGCCACTTAGTCACAAACACTGGCCAAAGTTAGCATTTATATTTGTTTGTGTGTTAAAAATTAAAAAAAACCAATTATGAATGTTAAGTTTAGCCAGTGTTTGTGACTAAGTGGCTACTAAAAAAGACTGAACATACCCCATTTGCAATACCTTGGGTTGTCTTCTTTTGCAAATGGTATGCCATCATGGGGGGTAATTGTGATTCCTGGGCTACTATACGCTCTCAATGGCAACATAACCAATATGTCAAATTTCAATGTGAAAAAAACTGAAAATCAAGCCTTATATTTGAGCCTGTAACCAGGGTTGTCTTTAAATTACCCAGGGCTGACACACACAAGATCTTGATAAAGACCCTGGAGGGTCGAAACGTTGATTCTTGAATAAATACACGATTGGAAAATTTCCTTGGAGTGCTCCTTTCATTCATCATATATATAGATATATATATATATGTGTGTGTGTGTGTGTGTGTGTGTGTGTCAATGCATTCATCCCAGCATTCCAATGCCAACACTGCACACACATACGCTAACACTGCACACAAATACACCTCATACATTCCAACACTAACACTGCACACAAATACACTCATGTGTTCCAACAACATTCCACACAAATACACCACTGCATGTGTGTCTGTGTTCCTGTGCATATCTCAGTGTTTGTGTAAGTGTGCATCTGTGTGTATGTGGCAATGCATACATCCCAGCATTCCAACGCCAACACTGCAAACGAATACACCCCTGCATGTGTATCTGTGTGTCTGTGTGTATCTGAGTGTGTGTACATATCTTTGACAGTGTGTATCTATGTGTGTGGATGTGCCAGTGTGTGTATCTGTGTGTGTGCACCACTGTCTGTATCAAAGTTTGTGTATCTGTGTGTCAAAGTGTGTATCTGAGAGTGTACATGTGCTGGTGTGTGTGTGTATATGCCAGTGTGTTTGTGTTCGTGTGTATCTGTGTGTCAAGTTGTGTGCATGTGTCCAGGTGTGTGCATGTATCAGTGTGTTTATGTGTGTATCTGTGTGTCAAGGTGTGTGCATATGTTCAGGTGTGTGCATGTATGAGTGTCAATGTGTATGTATATCTGTGTTAGTATGTATGTGCATACATCCAGGCAATCAAACACACCGCTGCAAACACAATCATTACATACAAACACACCCCTGAATACAAACTCCAAAATTGTATACAAACACACCCTTCACTCACACCAATACTACACACAAATGTACATCTGCATTTAAAAAACACTACATGCAAACACACCCCTACTTGTAATTACAAACATTACATAAAAACACCCCTTTATTAAAACATCAAAATTATATACAAACACCAACTCTATACACAAAAGCACACCTGCATTTAAAAGCCAACACTACATACAAACACACACCCCTGCATTCAAACGCTAACACTACACACAAGTGCACCACTGCATGCACACATATACTCTATATAAAAACATGCTTACATTCAAATTCACAAACACTGCTCACAAATACAACCCTACAAGAATGGCCAAATGGTAGATCCCCAGCTGGCATAGCATCGTGGGAGTTGTACGACAGATGGGTATCTATCTTTTCTCCACTCTTGTGCTATAGGGGAGACCCAAAAAAAATTCTTGCACCAGGCCCTCTCTACATTAATTCCATCACTAGGTTGAGGTGGAGGCAGGGCCGGACTGGGGATACAAAGCAGCCCTGGAAAAAAAATTTGTGCCAGCCCCATAAGTCACTCCGCCATATATTGTCGCGTGTAATATGTAAGGCTATGTCTTGCCAGGACAGATGATTGAGTAATATATATATATATATATATATATATATATTGCTTTTTCTAATATAAAATATTGGTCCTTTCAGGGTAAAACATTTAATTATACAGTAAGCATACGCACATGCAGACACAGGCAATTTCACTGACATTTCAGTGACACACACAAGCTCATTGATACACAGCCTCATAGACAAACAATCTTACTGATATACATCAGCTCATTGACATAAAAACACAAGCTCACTCACTAGCAGGCACACGCATGCAAGCAAGCTCACTCACCAACAGACGCACACACACAGCTTAATGTGGTGGTACTGGTGTCTATAGCATGTCCCTACAGGCTTTTCAACGTAAACACTGACTTTTCAGATAAAAGGCAGTGTTTACATTGCTTCAAAGTGACACTGCTAGTGACAGTCACTCAGACGGTCACTAGAGGTGCTTCCTGTGTTAGTGCCCTCCCGCCCTGCTGAATGAGACTGGCGCCGGAATATGACGTCATATTCCGGCGCCAGTCTCATTCAGCTGCGTGCTGGGGAGCAGAGCCAGCGCAGCTCCCTCCCTGCAAGGATTTTTGCCGCCCTAGACAAAATAAAAATTTGCTGCCCCCACATGTCACATCACAATGCCCCACCCATATGATCTGCCATATGAACTAACGCCAGTGCTGCACACAGTGTGTGTTTACATTTAAAAGCCTGCAGGGACCAGCTATAGACACCAGAACCACTTCATTAAGCTATAGTGTCCCTTTAATGTGAGGTAAATTATAGATTAGTGTCACTAATGATATACTAGATTGCCTACTTACAAGCAGATGAGGGTGATGATGGGCTGCAGTTTGGCTCCACTGGTCTGGTGTAGAACAGGATCTCTGGAGGCTGTTTGCAACTGTGGTCACAAAATTCAATGTTCTGGGAGAATTGGAAGCAGCTCAATTTTTTTGGGGCCCCTTACACAGCTCAAGGTCTGGGCCCCAGGGCCTGACGGTGAGTATGCCCATAAGGCCCACTCATAAGTTCCACCCACCCATGAGTTCGCTCACAGGGAGTGGAGTGTGTAGGGGATGTGTTATGTGTTATTGTAGAGGATCTAATATGTGTGTGCTTATGGTATGTAGTGTTTAGGGTTACCAGTTTGTGCAGGTGATGCAGTGTGTTTGTGTGTAGTGGAAGCAGTGTGTATTTGTGTATAAGGGATGTATTATGTGTTTGTGGTTGTGTGTAAGGGATGCATTGTGTGAATCTGTGTTTGTATGCATAAGGGATGCAAGGTGTGTGTCTGTATGT